CATCCCAGTTAACACCAACCCAATACAGAAACTAGACAACCTAATCAAGAGAACCCTTAACTACCTAACCAAGAAAGGCCTTATTACAAAAGAAGAACAGTGACGGATGAAAAGCAGTGGACCCATCCTCCCACGGTTCTATAGATGACAAAAAATACATAAGCCGGACATATCTCTCTGACCAATCATATCTTTACCAGGGACTCCAACATACAACATAGCAAAGGAACTGACAAAAAAGCTTGGACATCTCACAGAGAGGAGTGAATATTTTATCAACTCCTCACTACACTGTCTCCAGAAAATCAAAGATGTACACATAGATGAAGATGAAATTATGGCCTCATTTGATGTCACAGCACTATTTACATCCATACACCCAGAACTAGTGAAAGAATCCACGTCAGCAGTACTACACAACACACCTGACCTAAGCAAATACACCAGGATCGAAATACCCAGAATCATAGACCTCATCAACCTCTGCCTCATTACCTATTTTCAGTTTGATGGACAAATATAACAACAAATGAGAGGCACACCCATGGGATCGCCACTCTCAGGACTCACGGCAGAGAATGTAATGCAACACCTAGAAACTATAGCACTTCCACACATACAACCCAAAGTATGGATCTGGTATATAGATGACACCTTTGTTATAATAAAAAAGGACACATACAACCCAAAGTATGGATCTGGTATATAGATGACACCTTTGTTATAATAAAAAAGGACACATACAACCCAAAGTATGGATCTGGTATATAGATGACACCTTTGTTATAATAAAAAAGGAACAACTAGAGAAGACACATGAAACTATCAACAACATCTTCAAAGGAATACAATTCACCAGAGAGGAAGAAAACAACAATACCCTTCCTGGATATCCTCATCAGCAGAGGAAACAACAGCAAATCAGAAACTCAAGTCTATTGGAAAACAACCCACACTAACCAAGTATTCCATCACCAAAGTAACAACCCAACCTCCCACAAGAGGAGCTGTGTAAGTACATTATTGAAACAAGCGCAAATGCACTGCAGCAACCCAGAATAGCCGAAAAAGGAAAGAGACCACTTATACAACATCTTCCAACAAAATGGATATCCACACAACTTTATCAAAAAGTGCCTGACCACTCCACCTATCACAACACAGCCAACACAAGCTGTGAAAAGGATAACACTGCCATACATCAGAAACATCTCAGAAACAACCAACAGACTATTACAACTATATGGCATCTCCATAGCACCCAAACCAACTAAAGCCCTCCAAAACATCTTAAGTAAACCCAGTAGCCCAAGAAGAAAAAACAGGAGTCACTTACAACATATGGTGTAAGGACTGTTACAACCACTATGTAGGACAG